TCATAACCCTACTTAGGTAAAACTATCATAGTTTGGACCTAAAATACAAAGTACCTAAAATAAAATCAGTATATATATTCTAATACTGGATCATTGTAATTGATTCCAAATTGTCTATATAATTTTAATTTTGCTGCTGTACACTGCTGGGCAGCTTTATCTAGAACAATCGTTTAGTGCAGTTGCTTGTAACTAAAGCTTTAAAATAAATGGTTTTAAGTACAAAGCGCAATATTTGTATCCAAAATGTGCTGATTTTAAGCATAAAGTAGCAAAACACAGAAGTAATATTAAATAAATAACATTATTAAATTGTACTTCATTAAGCATTTCACCAGTGGTCGTGTCTGGGCTCTCGTCCACTGTAAGATTAACAGTAATCTAATAACATAAGACTGGCAGTGGGGCACAAGGAGAACCGGTCTTCCATATGTGGTGTGGTGGGAAAGGAATTTAGAAAGAAAAAAAGCTTTGGGCTTCCATATTATACCTTTTCATCTGTACCCAGGAGAAAACGAAGCAACTGGTGGTCCTGTGGCTCTCTCGAGTCGCTCTTGGGAGGTCCTGCACCCAGCGCTGGACTGGCAGGTGGCTCCTTCTTGATCTCAACTTCAGTTTTGTTTATTCCTTCCTCACTGGTGGTGGAGGCATCATTGGGACTACTGTCCTGAAGCAGCCGGTGGAGGATCTTGTGTCTTTCAGTGAGACTGCTGTGGGAGGCAGGGCACTGAGGGGCAGGAGCAGGGTTAGGTGGATGAGGTGAGGAGGCGCAGTGGATGCTGTTGCTGTTGTTGTTAGAGTCAGCTCCTGTCCCATTGCTATCCAGGAGCTGATTGAGTCTGGGGTTACCCAGCTGTGAGGCAGAAGAAAGGGGGGCTTTAACAGAGTCCTCTCCCCCTTCTTCACCTCCATCTGAGGGTTTTGTTGACGGAGGTCGAATAGAGGAGCCGGTGGGTGTACTGGCTTGTCTCTGAAGGACCGGAGAGGACAGGGAGAAAGACCCTGTTGACCCACCGCTTGCGCTACTGTTGCCATCACCACTAGACTGCTGCCTGTTGAGGCTTCCTCCACTGCTTAGAGCCCCAGCTGGGGAATGGAGGCCAGGTGTGGAGGGAGAGAAGGGGTTCCCTGGTACCCGAGGGCTCCCACCTAACCCAGGACTGGCCCGTGGCATCCTGGGCGACATAAAAGAGGTAGGGGTTGCTGTAAGTGGGCTGCTCAAAGGAGAGGGGCTGTTGACCTGCTGGGGACAATTCGTCCGATTGGGTGTCAGGTAGCCTGTCGGCGTGGCTGGATTATGTCCGTGGGAAGAGGCATTGCTGTTGTTGGTGTGAAGGCCCGCGGTGGCGAGACTTGAGCCTTGGGTTGAATTACTGCTGGGGGGGAGGGAAGGGGAGCGGGAGGGAATTTGGGCGATACCGCTGAGGGTTGGTGGAAGGCTGGGGTTAGTGTTTTCCTGAGAGCTAGCAGTGTTGTGTTCCCTGGGAAAAGAAAAAACAAAGGAAAATTAAAGATGTCAACCACATCTTTATATCACGTCCACAAACACCCCATTTTCTATCAGTGTCTGCCTTATCCAGGCTTCAAGCGTCATCCAGGCTTCTCTGTCTGCTGCTCTTTAAATTCTCCCCGTAATCAATAAAGTGAACAAAACATTAAACATTCATTATCTCCATTACAAGCTTTAAGAATGAAAATCCATATCAGAACACTTGTCGTAGCACTTTTTGTTTGCTGATGATTAAAAAACTTCTGTTAACAATCAATAAGTCAAACTGCACCTTGCATGGAAGAGAAAACATCAAATAAAATGTAATAAAATGGCCAATCAGTACATTACTGAAATTCCCAGAGGAACCCACCCGAGGGATTAGTAAAGGTTTATCTAATCTAATTAAGACAATATCAATTAAGTATGAGGAACAAAAAATTATAATATGAATAATCAATAAACTCTAGTGAGAAAAGGAAATTCTGAAGAATTCAGTAAGAATTCAGTTACAACAAGCCAAAACAACAACCTTACTGGGTTTCCACACTTTTCCTTGAATTCAAGCACTTTTCAAGATATCCCAGCACCTTATGGCTGTGGCAAATTACTCTCAGTTCTTCGGCACATTCAATGAGTCTGCCATAAATGATCAAATTACTGTGTAAGGCGCACATTCATCTGAAAAGTATCACTGACCCATTTTACCATAAAAGCAGTTTAATTACACTTTAACGCAGCTGGTAGATCTTCAGAGAAAGTCAGAGCATTTTTAAAATCCTTGAAAATACCAGCATCATCTGCAACATCCCCCAAAAAGACCATAACTGGGAAACTAACATGCATGGGACTCTGCAGGTGCATGTTGTGCACACTTCAGTGGATGAAAATTCATTTTACTCTGAGATACCACTTGTTACTGACACAAAGTGAAGTAAATTACTATCATAACATCTACACTAAGGCTAACTTCTGAAACTGGATAATTAATTCTGACCATGGAAGTACAAAGTTTTTAAATCTTTGACCTTTTACATGTGGTTGTCAAACATCACTTTATCCACTAATAAATAAGATTAGGCTCAGTTGCAGTCATCTCCTGTGTGTGTGTGTTCAGTCACAGTACCTGTCAATAGTGTGAATGCCCATAATGAAGGGCTGTACATCAGGGTTGGGGGGGCAGCAGAACTTGCAGCGGGTCTGAGCACTAAGCGGAGTGCCATCACTCAGAGTGAAATGGTACAGCGGGCTGATTGCGGTCCCATGTGTCATCACTGTTGAGAATGAAAGAGAAATAAAGGATTTAGGCCTATAAAGGTCATTCTGAGGCAGACATCTGTGTTATAAGACGAGGTGACAGATGATGCTCCACCTCGGCTTTAGCCTGCTGCTTAAACGTGCTTTAGATTTACCGCATCCATTTCTGATAAGCTTGAAGATATGAGACACATCTTCATGTATCCATCTTGTTATCCAGGTCATAGGAGCAGATACCTCCATGGCCACCACCTCCAGCTTTTCCTGGGGGACACCAAGATGCTCCCAGTGCAGGGTTTGTTTTTTTGTTATGGTCTCACAGAGGAGTTCTCTAATTCAGATACATGAACCACTTCAACTGGTTTCTTTTGATGTGGAGGAGCAGCGTCTCAGGAATGTGTCACTTTTCTGTTAGCAGCCGAGCTGAAATTAAGCCAAGTCAGTCGATGTATAACTAACTTCTGAAGTGTGACGACTTCTTTTAGTTCCTTATCTTTTAGTAAGTTAAGTGTGTAATTATTGCTTGGTAAAAAAATAAATAAATAAGAATAATAATTTGCAGGGCTGCAGGAACCTTACAGACTAATCAATCAACCTCATTCATTACTGGTTACAAGCCTAGAGCGAAGTTGTCACCTCCATAAATCTACATAAACATCCTCTCTCGATGTAGGTGGATCCAAGTTAGTTTGAAAAGTTTTTAATATTTAGTATTCTACTCAGTTCACTATATTGCCATTGACATGTTGCAGAAACTCCTGCAGCCATGACAGAGCCGGCAGTGAGCGTGTCAATAATTTCTGAGAGTGGAGGCAAAAGGGGGGAGAGAGAGAGAGAGAAGAGGAAAAAAAAATCAATAGTAGCTACTCACCCTCATGCAAAAGCTTCTTGGCGTGGGAGGGCTCTTTGCCCTGCGGCTGAAAGAAAGCATAGATACATTTCCTGACCAGGTCCTCCCATCCAGGCCTGCCTGTCGCTCGCAAAGCACTAGTTTCTATGGAGATGATCTTCCCTGGATTAAAACACCACACACACACAAACAAAAGATCAGCCTGCACCGATTTCAACAACTGCAGCAGACTTCACACTTTCAGGGTTCACACTGTTACCTTTGAGAAACGAATTTAAAAAATAAAAGAAAAAAAAAAGGAAAATCTCTGAATACTTTCTAAAATGATCTTTAAGTCTCATTGTTGCTGTAATTTTTCAAGATTTTAGGCTTTCGCCTGGGTGGGATATAAATTCATTCTAATAATACAGTAAAGCAAATTTTGTACATGTGTTTGAGTTTTAGTGACTGAACGCGAGGTAAGGGAGTGAACATACTATTGGGGGATGCAGATGAGAATTTAAAAGATGGATATATATGTTAGTATTTGGATTTTTACACTCATTTACAGCCTTTTTAAGAACACGTGAGGTATCTGCTCAATTCTTGACACCTTTGTGCTATAAAGGTTTAGTTCCTTTAATGTCCTGAACGGGAAATGTTTAAACTGAAGACAGTTGCTTACTAAGTCTTGTTCTGTGCTGATATATCACAGCGTGGTATGAACTGTGGTTGAATAAAATAAATGCTGACCTCATAGGCAGTGCTACAAAGGGCCCCAAAGCCTCACAGGTAAGAGTTTGAGAACCATGGGTGTAGACGATGAGATTTTTATTTCCTTTTACCTGTGGGATCCTGCTTTGTGATAAAAGACTCCGTGCTGACAGGCTGGGTTCGTGGCATCCGGCAGGCAATGCATATCAGGCAGCTCTGCAGGTCTAAAGAGGACACAAGGAGCGAGGTTTATGTAAATGTTTGTTGCAGTCAATAAAAGAAAGAAAAACTTCACAACAGCTGAAGAATGGAGGTGATATAAATGAATTTAAAGACTAAGGGATGCACAGATTCACCCCCTTTTGTGTCAAGACAACAAATTGCTGAATACTTTTAAAACTAGGTTAATGAAATCCTGAAAAACCTTAAATGTTTATCACCTGCAAGACTGATATAACACAAAAGAGAAGATCATCAGTTATATTATTGCTTAATATGGTGATAACAACTGAACACGGTTGTTATCAGCTGAAATATAATTAATAACTCTATAGCAGTAGAAATATCCATTACTTGGGAGCATACAGTCCATATTCTTATTACTTAACACGAATCGCTGTCTTTGGAAACCTTAAATACAATTTTCTTAAATACAACAGATTCTTTTTTACAGTGGATTTTGGATATTCTTGAAATATATGAAGAATTCATTTCAAAAAACAGTCTGAAAAATAGCAATAAAAGTATGAACTGTGAGACAGGAGAGCGGGGACCAAATTCCCGCCCTATACCTGCGCTGTATTATTAAAAGATATTTGTTAAATCCAAGTAGTGAATATCAAAGACCTTCAACTACACATCCTCCTTCTTGCAACCACTATTCAATTACAATAACAGCTTGCAACATTTATTGTGCTGCATTTTTTTGCCCCACAATGGTGGTCTTGTTTTGTCTTGCACCATAAATCTAGAACATCCCTCTCGTTCACAGTGCATCACACATCTCTTAAAGCCCAAACTCACTCCCCCAGTTTAGTTTAATTTAAGTCAAGATGACAGAAAGAAAAACTCTGGTCAACAACAGAAGCAAAACCAGTTCAGCTGTTTGGAAACAGTTTCTTTCAAGACGTTTGGCAGCAAATACAACAAATATAAATAACACAAAAACACTTATAGTTAAAAGTTCAATGAATGAACTACAAAACGGACGAAACAACAGCTTGCTGGAACACAAAAATAACATTTTCTTGCCAATTTTCTATAGAAACATGTCAAACAATGAAGTAGGAGCCACTAAACCAGATTCCACACACAAGAAGAGAGTCCTCCAATCCACAAGGCCAGCTCTTATCAAAGTGACTAAAAAGCAGACAGAACAAACAGCCCAATGAGTCTGCAATGCAGGAAAAAAGAAAAATCACACAGTTCATCAAGGCTACTGCGCCAGCGGCTCCAAAGAACATTAAAAACATCACCCAACAATCTGATGGCAGTCCAATTAACCAGCGAGTGAAAGGTTTTGGTGGCAGCATCAACAGCAAAAAGTCATAAAATAACTGCAGAAGAAGTATTTATCCATCAACAATGATCACCTTCTGTGTAAGCCAAATCCATTATTTTCTTAAATTGGATTAATTCCTGACATAGCCAAGAACATTTTCATGATTCGGGAGAAACAGATAAACAAGTTTCAATAAGCGAAAACATGCTTCCCTCACCTAAGAGAAACACTACTGATAGAGTTTTAAAAAATAACTAATTAAAACTTCATATCTAAAACTATTCTTTGTCTTTTTTTTTTTAAAACTCTGAGTGCACTCTGAGTGCACTGGAAACCCATAGATAGAAAGACACTCTGCTACTATAACAGCTTTACGTGATTCACATTTTTAAAAAATCCTTATCTATCCTTTACTGGAATTTTGTGACGTTTCAGCTCCTCTTCCTTGAAGCAAGCGTTCTTCCAGTATGCTGTTCCTCCATCATCCATTCATAAGATAAGATACATCCCTGTGTTACAGCATCCAAAACACCACCAACCTTTAATGTAACTTAAATAGATTATAAAGGTGAAGAAGCTCACTAAGAAAGGATAAATACAATAACTCATAAACTGCTGTACAAGTACATGCGTAACAGGAAATGAGGAAAGTATAATAAAGAAAAGCGTAATAAGTTCCATTTAAAGGCCGTTTCAGATAAACACAGATGTGCTAAGAAGGAAATACAAAATGCTCAAAGAACTGTGTCATAGGTGAACAATGTGGTGAGAGCCACAACTCTGTGCTGACAAGAACAGTAAAACCTCAGTCGAGGCTAAAGGCAAGGATCATGGAAAGTCATGGGAACAGCAGGAGGATATTAGGATGTTACATGTAATAATAGCAGGCCCGCTGCTGTATGTTCTATATCACATGAGCCAAAGTCAAAGCAAAATCCCACCTGGGGCAAATCTGAAGCCAGCCCGACTTCCTATATGGCTATTGAGCTGTCATGTTCAGGCCTGTAAAACAGGCTTGGTAATACTTGTAGGCATATGTGAAGAAGAAAGTGATTCTTATTCCTCTGTGCGGCCCTGAATTTGACACCCTTGTTCAGCTGTCTTATATAACAATTCCTAAACATGCAAACTGATACCAGCCAGTCTGGTGAGCAAGTTCAAGATATTTTTTCTTCAAAGAATGGTGCAAAATGCACACATTGGTGCAATACCTAAATAGATTTATATTCAGCTGTTAACACTGAGTCAGTTCAAACCATGATCATCGTAAGGCTATACTCTGATGAGTGCCTATTGATATTGGCTTTAAAAACTACAATCTACTGATTCAGTGTAGGAAATGGTTCATGGCTGTGTTGTAATATGTATGTATGTATGTACCATCTCCCTCCTCCTGCATGGTCCGTAGCTGGGACACGGTGAAACACTGCATGATCTCATACTGCTGCCGGGCCTCCAGGTTCTCTGAATCCACCTCGTCTGGTGGTCTCTTCAGCATGCGACAGTTAAAGGCGTGGCTGTTCCTGCGCCCAGCTTCTTGTGGCCACGGGACACCATTTACTACAACAAAGAGAAAGTTAAATATTGATGAGGAAAGAGAAAATAAACAAAGTCCCATCATTTCCACCACTTCATGATAAAATCTCTTTACTAAACCTGGTACAAATCACTCTCAGGAACACCATCCTTTTTTAATTTAGCACTAAAACTAGAGATGCAAATGCTCGTCTGATTTGCACAAAGTGCAGCAAAATAAATGCTGACAGTGGGACGCTTTGATGCGTTTTGCACACATTTTAAAAATTAGACAATAGGGCATTTGCAAATCCAAATCTGCTGCACACATTTGAAAGACAAGAAAAGACTTTTGCATCTATGCATTCATTCTTTCTTACACAAATATCACTCCTTCAATGAGATTTATGGTGAAAGGACAAAAAGACATCAGCTTAGATGAGAATGTCTGATCTTAATATCAGCATCATATTTTACTCATTTACAAGTTCATAACTAAGAACTATGGAGGTTTGTATCCGTCACACTTGTGTGAATCAAGAAGAAGATTTTGCTATTGAGGCTTTCGTGCAGAAAGACTCTTAACCCCAGCAGCTTCATACAGCACCAGGGGGTTGGGACATAATTTAATGTTGCACTCAATTAAAGCAGGGCTATCAATCTGCTATAACCCTAATTGTGAGGCACAGATGGAACAGCAGAGCTGTGCTGGCCTCTGCGCATCTCGGCACTAATCGTGGTCGATGAGAGAGAGTGGGAGAGAGGGAGAGGGGAAAGCGAGGAATTTATTTTCCAATTTACAGCCTATAACACACAGAGAGAGCACCAAATCACCCAAACATGATTCACACGGTGAAAGGAATGCTTAGTGGAATTTGTAATTAGTGGACACAAATGGAAAGATGTCAGCGGAACCGGTGAAACAGTATCAAGTTAAAACATTTGCCTAGTACTTTTTAACGTGTTTAATAATTATATACTACGTAACTGCTTAACTTAGTCTATACCAGCAGTCACCCGGTGAGAGGCGGAACACCAGTTCATCACAGCTCTAACCAAACACCTCTCACTCACTTTCACATTCAAAAACTCTCTTTTAACAGGAAGAAACCTCCAGCAGAACCAGACTTGGGGAGAGGCGGCGACTGATTGGGGGTTAGTGGATGAAGACACGGCAGAGATATTTCACACATTTCTGGGAAATTTTATAATCAGTTAACAGACAAATAAGCATTACTTTAGACTGTGAGGGGGGGAAACAAACTACAAAAACAAAACAAAATAAACAAACCAAAAAACCCACAAAATAAAATGGATAAAATTCGAAGAAAATGTAGCACTGAGGCTAAAACTGAGGATTTTCCTAGCATTGTAGAGGCGCTGGGTTTTCAGTTCCTCAGATGCTGGAAGTGCATGGAAACTGCAATAAAATTAACTATTAATGTGCTTTCTCCATGCACAAGGAATGCTCTATTTTTTTGCATACTGCATGCCATTACTACGTAAGGTAAAAACTTGCCTTTCATAGTAACATATCTTCATGAGTTTAAAACCACAAACCAATGAAGCTGGAAGAGCACAAATCTTTTCACAGCTTTAAATAAACTGATTATTTGTTTGAATCCTGAACTAGTTGTTACATTTGATACACAGTGAGGTAGATAAGTTACAGAAAGGAAACAAGGTGCAGCCAATTCAGGGCCAGTGTTTGTGGGAGAGGATAACTGCTTTGAAGCAATTTTTGTAACTTTGCAAAGATTTAAAAAGCACAAAAGCATTTTGTTCTGCTGCCTAATCAAAGATAAATCAATAATTTTGTGTTCCTTTTAATTAGTTTTAGCCTCTTACTTTATGTCTACTTAACGGATTCTTTCATACATGCAATTGTTTTCTGCTGCAGCGCTAAATCAGCAGTATCAACAGACAACTGAAAGGAAGAGCCAACAGCTAAAATATACTGTCAAAGAAGAAAAACTCAGTTTCAGTCTGTTCTTCTCTCCTTCCATTTTACTGTTCTGGGTCCATTTAGTAAATAACAATAATTTTAAATACAATATCAAAATTTATATTAATTTACAAAGGGCTGCAAATCCTTGTTAAGCAACACAAAGAAGAAGCACTAAAGGAATAAGCTAAATGTTGACAACCAACCTAAGATGGTAAAAATCCATCTGCTAAGTGTCTCTGTGAGTTTATTTTTCTTTAAAATCTGTTTCTGAGTAGAAAAAAAAGAAGCACTGGAGTGCCTGGTGCCGAATTACAAGACCAATGGAAAATACAACAATTCAACCTTGTTGCCTAGTGCACTCTGTTATCTTTTGTCCTTAAATCCCCCTCATCTGGCCCCTACGTTTCCATTCTAATCTCTTCAAGGTTGGAGCTAAACACACACACACAAAAGAAAAAAATACACTGTCACAGAATAGAAAGTCTATGTTTCAATACTCTTCACCCACGCATGTGCCGCCTCTACACACTTTCCTCCCTTAACATAATTTGCAGCTTTGTGAGAAGCACTAAAACTCTGTTCATTTAAAATTTACACAGTTCATCCTCCTACCTCTCCTCACAGCTCTTTAAATTTGCCTTAGCTACAAAATCTTCTTTTAATAAAGCAACTTAATCATTTGGATTTGAGTGCCGTGTACAGATTCTTCTGCTTTTTTAACAGTGAGTTTTATTGCCTCCTTAATGGGTTTCATTGGCATGGAAATGGTGAAATTTAAAAATGCTGAAAAAGTGATTATTAAATATCCCTCAAAAACATTGCATTTAAAATCGATTCTGCTCACTCACCGAGGCTTTTAGGCAGCAGATTACGAACAAACTCGTTGTGGTCTCCCACGTGGAGGATGCTGTAGACGCTGGAGGCCATGAGCTCCTCCTGGGTGTATCCAAGGTAACTCGTCACGTTCTCAGAAACAAAGACGATGCGCCCCTCCCGGTTGACAACGAAGAAAAACCCATCAAGCGCCTTAACGGGAAGAACAGAGAGAGGGAAGACTAAATCAGATTTTCTGAACGTGTGTATTAGTTAGGAGTAAACAACATGTTAGGCACACAAACCAGGATTTCCTATGTATTGTTTTACCTCTAGCAGCATGGGCCCCAACGCCTCTTTCTCCACCAGTCCCTGGCTACTGGAGGAGATGTCGCTCTTCTGCACCTCATCATCTGGAGAAAGGAGGGCTGCTTTTTCTACCCGGGGGGGTAGAACAACAGAGACATTAAATATTTTGCAATACAGTTGTTGTTGTTTTTTTAAGTATAAAGCCTATTTTTAAAAACTAGTGCTGTCAGTGTTAATCTCGTTTAAATTATTAAGGCCATAACGTCATAATGAGTGATTCTGCACGGCGTCAACATGTTAACACGTTGACGCCGTGCAGAACCACGCACGGAGCGATCCGCGGTAACTCGCTAACGGAGATTTGCCACGGTAATGCGGTTATGGCGTTGAAGTCATTTTAACGAGATTAACGCTGACAGCACTATTAAAAACACGTACACAACGTTTGCTATGCTATGAAAAAAGGGGTTTTAATGCCAACAGAGATATTTGGTGCCTACCAAAAAGCCCATTTTGAGTCTCAGCGATATTCATAGCACAATAAACACTGAGGTAAATATCACAGTTTTACCGTGTTATTCTAACAAGTGTCGCACATGTTCATGGATGGAATGAAAAAGGTTGTTTTGTACAGCTACAATTTATTATCATACAGTTACTGCTTTGAAATAAAGAGCACTCTACATGTGTGTGGCTGCACAGAGCAGACAGACTACTGGAAACCAAAGAAAAAAAAAATCATATTATTTGAAAAAAGTTAGCTTTAGACCACCAGAGTGGTTACATTTTCTAAACTCCTTTGACAAGCTTTCAAATCCCTGTTTGAGGGTAAAAGCTTGGTTTTACAGTTAAGGTTACAAAACCGGTTCAGGTCAGGGAGAAGGTGAAAGTTTATCAGATATTTTGTGATGGTTAAACTTAAGTCTTAGGAATGCACCGATGTCAATGAGTGGCCTCACAAAGACAGCCAAGGCTTTCCTCCCCACATCTGTCGAGACAGGATAAGAATGTATGCTTTAACTGAAAACTTGAGGTGACAACTCTTACAGATGTGGAGGTTTATTTTTTGCATACCCTGGTTTACTCCTGCAAACCTTGTTTAAACATTTACATAAAATGTTTTATGATTTTTTGGTTTACATTATAGTTACGCAGAAAATTATAAAGAAAATTAAAGAGCATAATATTTGACAGAAATTGTGGAGACACCGTACAGAAAACGTGTTTCCTCACCCTGCTCACGCCGTTTGATCTGCTGGATTTGGTCCACAGTGCTCTTGAGGATGTGGCACTTTTCGGGCTTAACGCTGAGACTGGCAATGTCGCCCATGTTGGATGACAACAGCTCCGCCAGCTCCTCGATGTAGCGGCACTCCAGCTCCCGTCTCCGCTTCTCCGCACTGCAGAAACAGACCCGACAAAGACTCAAAGCGAAGTTCACATTAAAACAGCTGTTTTTAAATCAGTACTACTTTTCTGGGTGATTTTTTTGGTACTTATCTGGTTTTAAAAACATCAGAAAACTGATTCTCTAGCACTAATGAAACTATATTTGTTTTGATTTTGACATTTTTAACCATGAAAGCCGTGACATTTACTTTAAAGTGAGAAAGAAAAGCAGCAAAACCTGACATGTTAAAAATTAATCAATTCACTGTTTCTGCTCGGCAAAAGTTACATTTAAATTACACGGTACTTGAAGTACATTGTCCTAAACTAATCAATATGGCCAAGTATATTACACTTTAGTAATAAGGCATTACTATATCACCATGTTTAGTAATGTAATCAATAAGGATGAACTTTGTGTCAGCCATAGTATTACTAGCCTAACTTTCTGATGTCAGTGGTCAACATTTACCTCGTTGTGAATATAAAAGTTTAAAGATGTCACGAAGAGCTTTAAAAAACTTTAAGAAGATGTGATTATTGTTGTTGTTGTTGTTGTTATTATTATTATTATTATTGTTGTTATTATTATCATCTCTTTTTAAAATGCAGACTTTTTTTTAAATGTGTACATGGCAGCAAAAAGTATTGGCAATTTTTTTTTAAAGATTATGACAAGAGAAGAAAAAAAATCAATTACTGATGGATTAATGGATACATATGAGAACACACACGTTCTTTAAACAAAATCACCCATGATGTACAAGCAATTATCAGCACCCCTCCAGGAGCAGAAGCAGAAGAGAAAACTATAATTGTCCCTGTAGGCTAAATATGCAGTTATTACACAATAATGAGTGACTCGAACCGTTGGTTGTGACTGACAGCAATAGAGACAAAGAAACAAACAGAAAGCTGGTTGGACCCAACACAATGTGCTCAGACACATTACACAGGAGATCCAGCAGAGTAACGTAGATTGCAATGAAGGAGAAACACATGATCTTTAACGGAGCACAAATTAGACTGTTGGAAGGCTGGTGATATATTTAAAGCACAAATCACATTTTATTGATAGCAGCATTATTGAATAAATAAAGTAGACTAAGTTTTGTTTATTTTTTGTTTGTGATAAAGTTGTATGAAAGAGTTAGGATAGAAAGTGTTACACAAGTTATTTGAATGTTGCTATTTAAACTATTTTGTACAATTTGTAAAGCATCTCGTACCTCTGCTTTATTGCTGTTGATGCCAAAGAAACATACATCAATACATACATCTACATTCACTGCTGGCATTTGCAACTTTTAAGGTGATTTTAGACCTTGTGATTATTATATTTTTAATGTTTTTCCTCCCTCAGTTAAAAAAAATGCTGTTGCTATTTAAGCCCTTGTAAATACGACATTTGACATTTTTGTAATTTTCAATTAATGCAGATTAAAATAAAATTAGCTTAAATCGAATCTGAATCATGCTTTCAGCTCTGACCTTTGGTTTCAGTGTTAATATATTTGTAATCCATTTTACCATGGTGTTGCTTTTTTGCAATCAAATTGATTTATTTATACTTTTTAACACTGCTTATTTATAAAAAAAAAAGATTGTTTTTTTTAAAAAACAAAACAAAAAAAAACAAAACAACAGCCAGTTAAATTTAAGTAAATGGTTTTAGATTAAACTGTGAAAGTAAATTCATGATCCTCTTTTTTCCTGCATTGGCTTTTTATCCACCTGTGGCATTTTTCTATAATATTGAAATTGGACAAAAATCAAAAGAAAATAAATTAATTAAGATTCTTCTCTTTTAACCTTTTGCGCAGCCTGGTGTTTAAATTTATTCTTGAGTTCCAGTGATTTCATTTCTAACGGACGAGAAACAGCAAGGTATGTGGCAGCAAGAAGAGCGTATATGTGACCGTGCGTATGTGAAACGACAACAGCAAAAGTAGGTCAGTGCATTGGCCAGCCAGAAAACACAGGCGTGGTGACCGAGGGAAGGGGGAGGAGGGGGAGGACGCTGCTGTGTGAAATGAGCGGGTAAGTGGATGAGTATAGCTGCTGGAGAAATGCTAGCTGGGCTGTTACATCACCTATCGGCCTTATAGATTTACACATACAGTACATGGAGAACTTTCACTCCTACACGCCCCACTTAAACTTATACTGACCTAAAGTCAAATCTATACTTTAAACTTTATCTCAGGTTTCTAATTACTTCTATTTAATTAGGACTTTTTGTTCAAATTTACTTTGTTTGGAGTAGCAAAAATGTTTGGTATATAACTTGGTATCTTGGTATATACATATACAAATATACATGTATATTGTTTTTTACATTTATATCTTTATGGTGATTTGTTTTTCCTTTGGGAGTATGTAGACATAGATCACTTTAATATCACTAACAAATAAATAACAACTGTGATAAATAAATTAAAACAACAAAATATTTGGCACAGGGAAGTCAGTACTTGACAGGCTGTCTGTGGGATGTTATTTCACTTTTTGTTGCCGATGTTTAATCACTGACATCGCATTCACACTAGAGACCGGTTGGTGATCCCCTGGCAACCTCCAGTTGTTAGTGACAAATGTGGGTTCCTTAACCACTTGGATGTTACTAGGTGAAACTGGTCACAAACATAGCGCTGCACCGAAAACCTTCTTGTGCTCGCTTTGGTTGCTAGCAGATTGCTCCAGTTACTGGAGTTTGGTGGACCACACCAAGTTGTCTGCAATACGAATTTCACTGATTACAACGAATTAGAGATGGACCGATCCGATATTACGCATCAGTCCGATACTGACCTAAATTACTGGATCGGATATCGAAGAGAAATAAAAAATGTAATCCGATCCATTAAATATCACAAAATCATTTAACAAAACTTGCGACATGGCGTAACTCAGCTCATAACCTTAGCACGTCGGAGCAGCACGCGTCACGTGATAGAGCGGCTGTGGCGTGCGAGACCTGTCAGTGGTCTGGTTGAGCAGTTGGAGCCTCGCTACGAAACCGGCATTTCATCTCCGAGAAAGGTATCCCAGAGAAGTAAAGCAAGTGTGTAAGTTCATCTCTGAATGTTTGTAAAGCATTCCCACGTCAAGCTTAACAACCAATACATGCAGTGACTGCCTCTTCTTCTCTCCCCCTCACTCTCCTGCTGCTACTTCAATCATGAAACTGATCAATGATCAGCTGATCGGCTTTTCTGTCACAACTCCCGTCTCTCTTGTTTGTTTATCGCCCACTTTGCACCAGAAAGAGGAAACCAGCAGATAAACAACAGCAGCATGTTTAAGCTTGATAAGCTGTTGTTAGAATGTATTACTTTCTACACCAGGATCCTTTTCTATGTAGCTGACAGCTGGTAACTGTGCAGGGGCGGATCTAGCAAAGTTTTGCTAGGGGGGCCAGGTAGGGCATTAATAGGGAAAGGGGGGCACAAAGAAATACTTTTCTTTCTAATTGTCATGTCTAGCTTTTAATAAATAATTATCTGAATCTTACAACCAAAGTTTTCATCTGATGTAAAATGTATAGAAATCCATTATTGTATAAAGGAACTATTAACTCTAATATGTACTCTGGTAAGCTACAGCACTTTTTCCTTTGGTAACCATCTGTGCAGTCTGTAATTCTGTTGAAGAAAGATGTTGAATGTATTTAAATATGTAGAAAAATAATTGATTTCTGTGCATTTGTTTTACACGTGCATTAAATTAAAGTAGATTGCGCCGATTAAGCATTATCAGGCGGAGGGTGGTTTCCTTTTGTTTTTGCTGGGAGTTTGCAACCCTATTAGTAAGGTTGTTTAATATTTCTGCTAAGTACTGTTTAAAATACCAGAATAGGGTGGATGGTGTAGGTTTAAGTAAATTAGATTGATCAGTATTGCTGAACTATGAAATATTTTGGGTGCAGTGTATTTTTTGCATACAGGAATAACAGAATAGCTTTAGTGTTTGTTTTTTTTAAAACTTGAGTATGAACTCGTACAAAATGCAGCAAGATATTAAAAAAAACAAACAGTTTTGTTGATTATAAAATGAACTATATTGGATTCATATCGGTATCGGCAGATATCCAAATTTATGATATCGGTATCGGACATAAAAAAGTAGTATCGTGCCAACTCTACCACGAATCTCCAGTAACCACTTGGTTGGGGAATAGACATTCATCCCTAGCAAACTGCCTCCAAAAACTAAGCAACCTCAAAGTTAGTTCATGAAATCCTCATGCTTCATGCTCTTGAACACAAATTTCACCAAACTATTGGTATGTCCTGTAACATGATTTTTTATCACATGTACCAATTTGGTGTTAATTTCACAAAATTAATATGTTATACTTTTAAAAAGCAAGAAACCTCCAACCTCCACATTAAAAGTTAGAGAGACTGATTGTGAAGCAAATCGTTTTGCTGCTGACATCATATTTTCAGCCATGATTTATATTATTTTTAATATCTTACTAATTAAAAATACTTTACTTGGTTACAGTTACACATTAAAAATAGCTTTGCATTAGTAAAGGTTGGTCGGGTTATAATACAAACAGTTAGTAATGTCTAAAAGCTCTATTTCCTGACTATAGTCACGTATCCTCACTGATGAGTCTGGACAACATATGTGCTGCAGACACAAAAATACACTTTCTTTTAAAGCACATTACAAAAAAACACATAACATTTTATGTCCACGAATATAAACAAAGCAAGGCAGAATAAAACACTATTTTGCCTTGAGTAAAACGTTATATTTCTCCCATCTGGAGTTGCCTAATCCCACAGTGACAGCCCAGTAGGGCTGCCACAAAAGGATAAGGCGCCTGGCCAAGCAAAAAAACGAGATAATATTTTACGATAGATCGATAGGTAACACACGATTATTATCGATTAGAAATACGACTAATTAAGAAACTACACATCCAAATCACAATGGACAACGTAACAACCGAAACAGCTACTAATTGCAAACAAGCAAAAGCAATTAAATAACTAATTATAATAAATGCATCATTAGAACTATCATTAGCTTACAGCTTTAAGCTTTTAAGGTGCTAACTAAAAATAAAGACAGATGATAGTTTTTAATTTTAATGAAATTTGCAGATTGTTTCGGTGAAGTTTAATAAACTCTTGCTATCTAAAATATAACAGGACAACGGAGTATATTCTCAGCATCTCACACTTCTGATAATCAGTGTCTGCTTGACGTTTATTCAGCTGTGTAAAAACTATAACTTTAATCTCAGCCAAACCGATTTACTCAGGAACAAATAAAATACTAAAAAAAAAAAAAAAAAAAAAAAAAAAAGCCAAACAACAACATTTTTAATTTATCTAAGTGACTCATATATATTTAACCTGAGTCGCGAAAGACGGCGGTGGGTTTGAAAACAATTTGCCGGGAGTCCGGTGTTCTCACGGCGCTAGTGACCTAGCCCCCGGCTAGCTATCGAGCTAGTGGGTAACAGACGTCTCCGAAAACGTCGGAGCGCTTTTGAAAATATGTGGTGTCCTGATAAACTGAGCAGATATTTGAGGTTTACACAGCTACATTCTCGCCTGAAAATATGTTAAACGTTTATTTTGTGACCCAGAAAGAATAATAAGAGTAATATTAAAACTAACTAGCTGCCGCCATTGTTGGAAACTAAGCTGGGCCGCGCTATGAATTCTGGGACACAGCTGCTTCTTCTTCTTCGGGGTTTAACGGCAGCTGGCATCCTTGTACATGCAGTGCTGCCATCTTCTGTTTCAGTCCGTTATTACACTCTTAAATCCTGCTACTTCTGTGTCTTTTGCGATCTTACAAAGCTTCAAACGACACGTCGACTATTAAATCAGTCGTCGACGATTTTGATAGTCGACGTAATCGTGACTAGTCGACAAATCGTGGCAGCCCTACAGCCCAGCTGACCAAAAATGAGCAAAAACAAGTAATCAGTAAGCATGCTCGCCATGTACAACCAAGGCAATGATTGCGTTACCTTATGTGGATAATCTATGATTTTTATAAGAATTGGGCAATCTGAGAATTAAATATGTCCATTATATTTATTTTAGGGGTGGGACTCGATTAAAAAAATTAATCTAATTAATTAGAGGCTTTACAATTAATTAATCTTGATTAATTGCACAAGAATTTTTTTTTTTAAATTTTAAAAGGTTTTAGTGGGGGACAGAACAAATAATAGACATGGACATGAATATTGCAAACTCAAGCTCTTTTGATTTATAGGGGGGAAAACTGCATTTAAATGCAAAACAAAGAAACAAAAATAATATCCCTGGCCAAATTGGGCAGACTTAGAAATAAAGTGCTATTTTAAGTACTTTTAGTACATTTTTAAAATGGTATTGTCTTTAAATAATAATAGAAATTTCAAAATAAAGTGCAGTTTTTCTTCTAAAAAAATTAGGCAGAAACATAAAAGGCTATTTGAACAGCTTCACCTTTAAAATCTGAATAATCTTAGCCAACATTATTTTGTACATTAGGCTAAAACTGTGTGATCATCAAACATTTTAGTGCAAAAATAAACCTATTGGACTCACAATAACTCCACTCTTACTTACAGTCCGTCTCTTTCAGCCAGTTACTTAGACAAACTAGCCTGTTCACATTGTCAGAGCTCAAGGCAGCTCTCTTTTTTGTTACTATGTGACCTGCAAGTCTGCAACAGTCTCTCACATGAGACAGAAGTGGCCGGACTAATCAAATACTTGCAGGCCAGGACAGACAGCTGTGGGTCGGCCCCTGCTCGACTGGACCACTACTGCAGCGGGCAGTCTGCCTCCCTGATGGTGGATTCTGCTCTGTAAAAACTCAGGGCCCTGTTACACAGGGTTTCCTCATCTAAATCTGTAGCACATTTTCTAAACCCCTATCTTCTACCACTGCTAGTGGTCTACAGTCCAGAGCAATCCATTTTGCGAGACAATCTGTAAGTTTGTCCGACGCTGACTTAGTAATTTTGGTCCTGAAGCCAGTCATTTCATCAACTGGGACTGCTAGCACTAACAGCTCCTAGTTTCTGTGCTCGCTGCAACATGTTTTGCATTTAGATGGTACTGTAAGGTTGAAGTGCTGCGGTGGTATGCAAACTCCTTTTTGCACAGTTTGCACAAAACCACGCTTTTATCAAGACTACTGCTAGGTAGTCTTTTAAAATGTAATTTAAATTAAATGAGTCCTAACTGTCGCTACCCGATCGGTACCCCGCATGCGCGAAAGGTGTCTACTTCCGGTCGTAGCGTTTTACGATAGTTATGGGTCAGAGTATCTGTTAAGATGTTAAGAATAATAAGTATATCTTAAAATGTTTGCAATAATGAAGCATTTCAGTACAATGTAGACAAAAACGAAAAATAAAAAGAAAGTTACGGATCAGGACTCTTCGATCCTTACTGCGCATGTGTAAAGTCGGACCGTACAAATCGGGTCTACCCGATCCGTACCGCGCATGTGCAGATGTTTTCTTCTTCTTCTGTTCGTTTAATGGCAGTTTACTCCCCAGTGTATGAGGATACCGCCACCTGCTGACCGAAGCGAATAACCCTATTATAAACTGAATTAGCGTATTATCAAAGTGCGTGTTAAATTTGATTTAGCGATAGTCGAGTGTGTTTATGCTTGTCTGTGAGGAGAGGATTGTTGGAATAGTGATGATGATGTCCGCTATCACTGTCAATTGTCAGTAAACACTTAATCTGGCTGATGAATCTTCACGTGACACATTGCTAAGTCAATATTATTAAGTCTGTAATTAGGCGCCATTCTTCTTATTTTACGGCGCTGTTGTTCAATCGGGGGACGCTCTCTGTGGAGGAACTTAGCATGAATTTGTTTGTATACGGATTATCCATTGTTTAAATGTCCCGGTAGTCGAAAAGGAGGCAGAGCTGTTGAGAAATGCTAGGAGCTAACTGGGCGCTAACCATATCATTCAAATATATTGAATGTCGCAATGTTGGCAAAGAGAGGAAGTGACGTAAGATTTGCGCATGCGGGGTACCGATCGGGTTTCCGGTACGGATCGGGTAGTGACACTAACAACACACTTTCTTCTGATTCTTCCATTTTTGTAGCTGTGTGCATCAGTGTAATCGGTATGCCAGGAAGTCATGCATTGACAAAAGTTCCCCTTTGCTTGGAATTCAAAGTGCGATTAAATGCATTAATGTTTTTATAATGCATTATTTTTTTCAAATTCATTCATCGCAATTAATGCATTAAAATTCCCGCCCTCATTTATTTATGATTATAAATTAAGCCACTGCTAACAAAGTTGATTAAAAAAAATCTGCCATAAATGTAACTTCTGATGTGATAATGAAAATAAAGTAATGACAAAATTATGAGTTCGATTTTATCTTGTGATCTCATCAGTTGAATTTCACTGATCAGTCAGTTTTTGGCAATTCATTTAATGGTTTAACACATTTTAATGCAAACATCATTTGTTTACATGTATTTTACGACATAATTTCACGAGCTTAGATGTTTATAAGCTTACTGATAAAAAAGCTAGGTTGATATGGTTGATAATTGTTTTTATTACTCATCTTTTGGCTGATCATGAACCAATAAAGATTCACAGTATCTCCGGCTCTATCCGTGTAATGTTTGTCAGTGTTGTAAAAAAAAGGCATGCAGCCGGTCTTACCTTTGCCCTGACGTGTCGCATGGCGAGCCCTTCCTCTTGCGTAACTCTGGCGTGGCAGGGTCCAGAGGGCTTTCCCCTACTGCACTCATTTTCAGCTTTAACTGACCTGCGGGGGTGGGAAACGCATGGTAAAAAGATGTGTCAGGAACAAAATTGAGAGCAGCCATTAATGTAAATCCCACAGCTTTCTCCCCCTAGATCCATTCCTACAAACCAGTGCAGATAAAAGAGCACAGGAAAGCCACAGATTTTGTAAAGACTTTGGACAACTATTTCTTTAAATTCCTACTGTCAGGCAGAGCTAACCACACATGCACAAAATCCAAGGCCACACTGAATCTCCCCGGTCAGACAAGACTAGGGATGGGTACCGGTGTCCGGTGCCATCTGACATAAACGGTAGTAACCAGACCGAAAAGCAGCGCACATTTCGGTGCTTTTTTTTCCTGAGCTGTGATACACTTTAGATCCTAGCCAATCATTTTACGTTTCCAAGGATAGTAGGCAGGTCCAGGTACGTACGTTCTTTTGAGCAGAGCTACAGATTAAAAATGCCCAAAGCGAAGCGGTCAAAAGTCTGGCTGTACTTCACAGCAAAATATGCAAACTCAGCAGCCTGCAACAAGTACTTTAAGGTGATACTGTGATACTGTGCAAAGGCGGTAACACCTCGAATCCGATAAACACCTGGCGACGCATAGCGTTTTTTTTTAAAAGCTGAGAAATGCGCCGTATTTGATAGCTTGCTGAGCACCGTTTAAGCACCGGCACCGTTTCAAAAGTACCGATTTGGCACCGGTATCGGATAAAACCTAAACGATACCCATCCCTAGACAAGACCGACTCTGCTGTTTTGTTTTTCCTTGTAAAACAAATTCCCAATTAAAACAAAAGTCAATAACACTATCAAACACTACTGTAATAATCCAAATAATCATATGGCGCTATGATTGTGTGTATTTCTGTCAACACCATCATCAATCAACATGACCACCAATTTAACTACACAAGTTTACCCCTTTTACACAGGTGAATCTTCTTTAATATTTGTCCTGACCAGTCCTTTTTTAAAATCACCTTCACCTGCAGTTTTCTACCAACCTCTGAATATAGTTCAAGAAGAGTATTTTGTGCTGAGAACATTTTAATTCACTATTAATGCTGAGTGGCTAATATTAGGCTAACCTACATGTTTCAACTGATAAGCCATGTATGAGGTTGACAAATGAGTTACATGTCACTCTCATCCTTTAGTCTTCCAAATGATCCCGACACCCTGCCCTACACATGTAGTCTTGAATTATTATTTACAACAGTGTGGACCAACCAGTAAACAATAATGAGAGTCTATGACTGACTGAGAGTTGTTCCAGGTGACAAATTTAGCAACAATTATTCAGATTTGTGAGCAATCAAACTAATTTAAATACTGCTGAAATGTGTAGCACGTTGAGTCGTACATCTTCTTTGCATGTTAAAGTCATTGAGCTGAAAGTGGCTGCAGATCAGCCACTTTCATCACTGGAGTTTTTACAGCCAGTGTACAGCCACTCATTTCTCACAATATGTTCTGCAGTTTCAATAAGTTTCCTACTGGCACTATAAGCTCTCAGAAACAAGTTAACTAGTGTTGAATATCAATTAAATACAAATAAGTAGTTTAACTGCAACATTATGCAATATTTCATCATCTAGTGGATGTCCAAGCAACATCTGGCTTTTCCCATTCATAGCATCTCACAAGTACTACAAGAAATACACTGTAATATGCAAATGCAATTGATATGAGCATTTCTGTACAGAGATTGCTGACTGCTTACAAACAACGGAAATCTTTTCAATTTCTGTAGCCTGTATTCACAGGACAGTTCAGAGAAGACAGGAAAGCGGGAAGAGGATGTGTAGAGTGACCAGGTAAGCTACAGCGGCGCCTCAGCATTTCTAAAAGGAAGGTGAGACATAAACATGAATAAAAGCCTTTCAACTACTTGTGGGAAATTTCTTTTTCTTTAAAATTTACATTCATGCGTTGTGACTGAAAGAAAAATCTGTACACATACACACAACCTCTTTAGCCCACTGAAAAACAGGCTGCCATTGTCACAAGTATTGGGTGCCGCTGCAAGTCCATGCTGCTCACGGGATGCTAATCCTTCCTGACTAGCACTGTTTACATTTCACCTCAAATCACCCCGCTCTGCTTCCGCCTTCCTTGTAGTGCTAACCCACTGCACTTAAAAAACATCCATCCACAACAGTGAGAAATGAGATCACTGCAGCACATTAGCACCCAATAAAAACACAATGCAGCCCAATTTCAGAGTCAGAGATTAGTATGTATTTAATATAAGAGCCTGAGCTGCAAGTATGATATATAATTTATTCTTGTTTATGTTACAAATGTGTTGATTCTGGCTATATTTTAAGGAAAAAACATTTATAACACACATCAGGTGATATTAATGGCTCGACTGGAATCTAGGAATAAAAATAAGAGTTAAAAAAGACATTTTTACGTAGCCAACATCTTTTTTTGCCTACCAAATATCTAAAAAAAAAAAAAAAGTTAATGCTTTAGTCAACCCTTAACTTGGTATATGTTCATAAAAAAGGCCAGAGGTTCTAATTTCATTTGTCAGATAAAATAGTAATAATATTTAGTTTGATATCAACATGCCTCCAAAGGCACCAAATATTGACTAATTTTAAATGTATGTTTTTTTATTTATTTATCTTTTGTAACTTAACCTTGAAAATTAACGTTTGCACTTACAGACTGATGGACTGTTTCACCTGTAATGTTAAGTGTAAGAGAAAGAGCATCCATCTTTTCAGAGTGACCTTCCCATCATAACGCTCATCATTTATGATGGTTAACAAGCTCAGGTAAAGCCGGTACGTTTCTGGGAACGCATCTACAAATTTACAGTTCACTGTCAGAAAGAGAACACCAGGTGCAGTGATTATGTCTGATAATGTACCAAGCAAGCAACACCAAATGCATCTGCCGAACGCCCTGTACTCACTCGCCTTATAGATAGCTTTAATTTATCAGTCTACAACAAGAGGACGCTTTATGCTTTCTGTTTTGTACCATGAAAACAACCACTTATACTTTTTCTCGGAATGATTCAAAAGGAATTTGTGAAGCCCATCGGCTAGGCACAACCAGATTTTTACATCTCAGGGCACATGGCCTGAGATGTAAAAATCTGCAGGCCTGAGTATATCGGTCAGTTATTTTTAACCAATTTTGTATGTATTTTTTATTCATCTGTCAGAGAACAGCGTCATTTCAGTCCTAGTTTGAACGTTTAATTGCTGCCAACCAGCAAGCAAAAGAAATTGCAGTCACAAGTCTGTGCCAACTGGTTGGTTCAGCTCTTTATCTTATTCAGGTGCTCCACTGAGACTAAGGGCAGGTATTGCACTTATATACAGTTAAGTCACTTACAATGTGTACACAGTTCCAGCAATCTAATAATGGCCAAACCAGTGGGCACCAGTGTGGAACGACAGGCCTGAAGCGTTGCAGAGATGGATGGGCACCCGACCAGGGCAACACTGCTTTATTCTCTTTGTTTGTGGCTACAAGCTGCCTTTGTTCCCTTAGTTTCAGACTAAAGCACCAGTAAGGTTAACGTTAATCCTCAAGATTAACCTGTTTGTAAGTATTTGGCTGGGCACAGCCTATGAAGGGGGCTTTTCAACCTACACAAACACGTCTAAAAACCTAACAGCGTAGCTTGACGTGAATGATGCCATGCACATGTCAAACCCTGGTTGAAAAGTGGTCCTGAACACAAAAGGAAGTGATACCAGAAGCATATTTGAGAATGCTTCAAATGTAATAAGGCCACTGCAGTGTAAAGTCACTAAGCTTATTTTGTGCACCACCCCTGTACTCCCTCTTGCATACATTACTGTACTTGGAAAGAGGTGATGCTGGTGGGATATTAAGTTATAAGTAACTGGTAAAAAACATTAAATGCTAATGTCTATCGTTACCAAACTATGTGTCAAACAGTAACACATGAGTCGATTCTCCATTACAGTCTTGGTGTGCTTTTAGAGCTCGTTTCTGACTGCGTCTTCTCAGCCAAAAGAGCTGACGCGGTGAAGCAACAAGAGCATCTTCGATAGAGAGCTAATTATTTCAAGTGACTCACATGCCCCTTCAGTCCGATTCTGGGTTCTGCTGATCAACGGAAACAAAAGTAAGGGGTCTGAGTGTAACATTTACTGATAATAAAGCTTGAGGATCAAAATTTAGTAAGACCCCTAGCATTAGGAGACCCCTGTGAGAAAATAACAAAGGAGGAAGGGGCTGGGAAATGGTCTTCAAACAGAGGAAAAACGTGGGACACCAACATGGTACTGTAATAACTAAACAAGCTGAACAGGACATGTATCCTCAGATGAGGCCATGGCCATTTCAAATGTTCTGAGGTTCAGCAATCATTTTTAAAGGTTTAAAAAAAAAAATCCCCCTGTTGTGATGATGTAAGTGCTCTATCTAGGGAAAAATATCAATATCCAGTTTTTACGCAATTTACACCCAGTTAAGTGTGAATTTTCACACTTTTCACACTTCACTCACCAACACGCTTATATAAACAAACAAAAGAATCCATCGACTACCATCCATGCGAAATATTGCAAATATTCGTTATTAAGCACGACTACAAAGGATTTAAAACAAACGAAAGACATTCAGCACAAAGTTTTCATTCTTAGCACCCACATGGCTGTCTTTAAGCAAGGTTTCTGCAGCAGTTTGTCTGTGGACAACCAGTCAAGGCAGATAAAACCGCTTTGTTTGTGCTCGGGTAAATCTCACATCAGAGCGCTTTAGACAGTTGTCTATGTTCTGCGTATTTGCTGTATGAGGAGAGGATGTGACACTCAAGCAACAGAGTGTAAGAATTGTTATTTTCTGCGAGAAAAAAAAAGCTTTTACAGCAAAGATGGCAAACTTTTAAGCGTAAAAAAATTAATAAAATATGACTGTTTATATCTGCCTTAATAAGTGCCTGGAGACGTTTCAGGATCCTGGTGAAACTTGACCCTAAAAGACAAGAGGCTTCTTTGTCCCTGGCTGCCCGA